ACATACATACGTACGTACGTACATACATACATACACACACATACATACATACATACATACATACACATATTACATTACATTACACTACATTACATTACATTGCATTACATTACATTACATTACATTACACTACATTACATTCCATTACATACCTTACATAAATACCATAAATACATCCATACATACATGCATGCATGCATACAACATACATATAAATGATACCGGAGAAAAGCCCAATCAGGGCTATAGGGCTAGTGGGCTATAGTACTACAGGGCTATTGAGCTATAGGGCTACAGAGCTATAGGCCTATAGAGTTGTAGGGCTATAGGGCTATTGGGCTTTAGGGCTTAGGACTATACGGCTATAGGGCACCCCCGGGCATCCCCGGGCACGCCCGGGGACCCGGGCACCCGGGCACCCCCGGGCACCCCCCGGGCACCCGGGCCCCGGGCACCCCCGGGCACCCGGGCACCCGGGCGTGCAGCGAAAATCGGCGCCAAACCTAACCTAACCATATGAATCCGCTAAGACCCCTACAGAGGCAAGCTCGGATTGGGGAACATACGTACGTACGTACATACATACATGCACACATATACATACACATACACCTATGTACATATATATATATACACATATACAAGTGTACATATAAACAATGTATATATTATGTTTATCTAGAATACAAGGCTGCATAGGCGCTTCGCGCCATGCATCTTGTTCCTTGAAGCTTTGGATCGGCTGGCTTCTCGCGGTATCCTGCGGTCCCTTCGAGGGGTCCTCGCGGGCTCGCATTGCGAATGTGCAGAGGTTGCGGAGGGGGAGTGGGAGAACTTGGTGTTCGAAGCAACGAAAGGGGCAAATGGAATGCAAGAAAAGGACTTCAGAGGGAAACTTATCGAATCCCGGGTTCGCAACCAAATTTCTTAAAAAAAGGGTGCGAACCCAGGATTCTGACCAGAATGCAGCTTTATACTGCAAAATATGAGGCAGGGGGGGCGCGGGGAGGCGTGCTGACGCGACTTTGGGACAGGCAGGCTCTACGAACGGTATGTATGGGCTTCGTTCGGAAGGCTACGATCCTCGTGAGGGGTGCCGTTTCTGAAGGCCGTCTTGGGGCTCTCTGGGGCCGTCTTGGGCACCCCTTGGGCCGTGTCGGGGCTGTCTTGGGCCGGTTTCGGACTCGCTTGGAGGCCTCTTGAGCCGTCTGGCATCGGTCTTGTGGGCGTCTTCGGCCGTCTTGGCTCGTCGGAACAGTGAACATGCAAAGAAGCAAAAATCTTATAAAAACCATAGGAAATCACTGATGTTCATCTCTCGGGGGCTTCTTCGGAGGACTCTGGAAGGCTCTTGGGACCCTCTTGGGCCTTCGTAGGAGCCTCGAGAAAGCCTCTCGGGAGGTCCAAGGAGCCTCGCGTGTCCTCTCACCTTCCTCTTTGGACGGAGAGCGCTAATTTTCGCGCTCGGAGGCTGCGATCCTCGTGAGGGGTCCCGTTTCCGGAAGTCCCGGTTGGGGAGGATCCTATTCCGGGGAGGGGGGGGTTCCCACCCCCCAAGATTATAAAAATATAGAAAAGGGAATATATATATATATATATACACATATATGCACATCAACATACATGCATACACACATCCTCGCATGCACACATACACACGTACATACATGCACGCATACAGACAGACAGGCGTACATGCATTGGACCATTTGGACCCATTTGAGGCAACGGCGGCTGACTCTAAGACGAAGCCAGGACGACGATAACATCGGATAAGGACAAATCATGAATCTCTGAGATCCCGCGGCTCTCGAGGATGTATCGGGCGCCGCGGCCTTCTCAGAGCGTTCTGGAACGTTCTGAGAGCGTTCCGAAACGTTATGGGGCGGATTCATCCTCGTTCTAGCCCCGCTCGACTCCCGCCAAGCCCAAATTTTGTCTCCCTCCCGGGATCCATCCGACATATTTTTTTCGGCACGGATGCGGCCGCGGCGACGGCTTCTTCCGACGACGCAAGAGGGTCCAGAAAGGAGAAAAACGTCTTTTCCTCCTCCGACGTTGCATCTGTTTCGTGATGTCGGCCTCAGGGGCTCCGACTACGGCCGGACCTAGGACAGAAGTTCATCCTTCAAGAGCTTGAGACCCTCCGCTGTCCAAACTGAAGAATATTCGGGGGCAACCCTCTCCCAGGATGCACAATAACATCCAACAAACAAGAAAAACATTAGGTTACCCTCCCCGAGCCGACCTCCAAATCATGCCTCGGTCCGACCGCACTTCCCCGGTGCCAGGTTTTCAAGAGGAGGAGGAGGCGGAGGAGGAGGAGGAGGAGGAGGAGGAGGAGGATGAGGAGGAGGAGGAGGATCCTGAATCTGCTTTGACAGAGCTGGGGCCGGGGAGCAGGCTCCGCGAGGCCGAAAACGACGGGAACACCGGCCGTCGCGTTTCTGCGGCATGGCCCGGATCTGAAGGCTGTCTCGACGGGCTCTCCTCCGAAAAACTGCGGGCGGCGGCGACGGCCGGTGCTGGCGGCGCGGAGCTTCTCGGAAGCCACCCCGCCTTCTGTCAGGGGTGGGCGGAGCCTCCTGTCGGGGAGACGTAGGGGCGGGGCAGGGGCAGAGGTGGGATTGGAAGGAAGATCGCTCTGACGGGCCCCTGGAGGAAGGAAGCGTGAGCATCCAGCTGGGTTCGTTTCCCAACCCCACCTTGGTGAAAACCTCGCCTCTACGAAACCCCCACCCTTTGGCAAAGCACCCTTATGCGAAAACGAACCGGGACCAGATCCAGCGGGCGCAGACTGCAACACCGTCGCGAGAACCGAGAAAGTCCAATTCGCTGATCGACCTGGAAGTGTGGGAGTTCAATCAACCTCCACGACTCTCAGAAGCCTCCAAACGCATCTGGGAAGGCCCCCGCCTCCTGAGAAGCTCCCCGCCTTCTCAGACAAGCCACCCCCTCCCCCTGAGCCGAGGGGTAACGTTAGGGGGGGGCGGCTCAAGCCGTGGCGACGAGGTCCTCCGGGGAGGCCCCACGCGGCCAAAAGGAGGGAAGCGTAGCGACATCAATACCGCTGCCTCTTCTGAGGAAGGTCGACTCTCGATCCTCGAATGCCGGACCCCCGTCCCCCTCTGTCGTTGTTTTGAACTGCTGCTGTTTTGTCTTGTACGAAGAGGAGGGAGGCGCGCGACCACAAAACTTCACCTGACTCGGCCTCAACAGCTGTGCGAATGAGAAAGTCGCCAAGCAAACCGGGAACACCACGAGAGCCGAACTGAGGTAAACAGTCATGCAGTGAACCGTGGCCCGAAAGAAGGAGCGAGCGTGCTGCATGCCTGAAGAAGGGACAAGCGAGGAGGAGAGAAGGGAGGCATTTGGCAGGGCGGGCACGGCGCGCGCAAACCGAGGCTCGCCACGAGCCACGCTCCACACCAACTCGGTAGGGCGCAGCGTGCAACATGGAGAAAAGCTGGAGACCGACGACGGCTCGAAAAAAACAAATCAAAGGACGGCGGCGCGCGTCATCAAAGAAGCACGAGGCCCGAACGCCGCGAGAGACTGAAAATGCATGACCGTGGCGGCGGTGATTGACAACGACATAATTCATTATAGAAGAGACACGAACAATGTGGGAAACAAAAACGGAATATATAAGAGATCCGGCGCGCAGCGCACCGCAACTGGAAGACACAACCCGCCAACGCCACACCAGTGACGCAGGCGCGGAGGATCGCCCGGCGCGAGATCCGACGCGAAGGAAAGGCATGCAACAAAGACCAAACAAACCATGTGCAAGGGGCTACTCCTTGGGCGGTGAGCTGGCCCAAGTGCCGTAGCCCCGCAGCCGCGGAGCGGAGGCATCGGGCGGGCTCCACGCGCAAGGGGGATGGCCCACGCTGTGCGCGCGCCGGCGCATGACAAGTGAAACGCGCAGAGAAGCGTGCCAAGGTCAACCCTGCAAGGCGAGCTGGCCCATGTGTCACGGCCCCGCAGCCGCGGAGTGGAGGCGCAAGGCGGGCTCGCGAGACAGGGGGGCAGCTGCTTGTTCAAGTCTACGAGTCCGCGCAAACTGACGATGAACTGTAAAACTGACTACCTACCAGCCCACCCCAACCCAACCCGAAGACCCGACTTTCGGGTTGGGGGGGGTACGGGCTTCATATGTGTTTTCTCAACGTTCCCCGACCCCCCCCCACTGGAAGTGGAGGGCAAATTTGGGCCTTCGGGTTGGGTTGGGGTGGTTTGGTAGGTGTTGAAAAACTAATTGCACGCTCCCGTCCGACACTGTACGGCAACTGGCTGTGCCAGGTGTGCCAGGGCGCCGGTCACCCGTGGCGCGGCGCACTGGAACAGAACCTGGGGCGGTTCTGAAAGCGGCCAGCATGCCTCTCCTGCGAGGCAGGAAACTCAGGGCCCACGGCGCACGGCGCAGCCGCCAATCTGGTCGACGCACGACTGGTCCAGGTGATGCGTCCCACTGCACCAGAACTTCTCCACATCGCGAGGACACAGCTGGTCTGCCGAGCAAGATGGCATGCCGACACAGTTGCGCAAGCCGTGGGCGTCGAAGCTGCGCTCCTGGCCGTCGTAGCAAAGGCGCCCGCTCGAGCCGCAGCGCTGACTGCCAACACTCGCACTTGTACCCCGTGCCTTCGGCGCACACCTCGCCCGGCTTGCCGCAACGGCTGGTCTGCGCCAGGTTAATGCCAGAGCCGAAGCAACCGTGGGCCAAGGTTGGCCTGTCGACACAATTGCACGGTCCGTGGGCGTCGCAGCTGCACTCCTGGCCGTAGTCGCAAAAGCGCCCGCTCGAGCCGCAGCGCTGCGTGTACGCGCAGCTTCCGTGGCCGTCGCGCTTGCATCCCTTGCCGCCGGCGCACACGTCGCCCTGATGGCCACAGCGCTCGGGTGGCTTCACACAGCTGCACGAGCCGTGGGCGTCGCAGCTGCACCGCTGGCCGTAGTCGCAAATGTACCCGCTCGAGCCACAGCGCTGCGTGCACGCGCAGCCATCGGCGCACACATCGCCCTGCTGGCCGCAGCGCTCGGGTGGCTTGACACAGTCGCACGAGCCGTGGGCGTCGCAGCTGCTCTCCTGGCCGTAGTAGCAAAGGTACCTGCTCGAGCCACAAGGCTGCGCGCACGATCAGCTGCCGTGATCGTCGCACTCGCACCCAGTGCCATCGGCACACACATCGCCCTGCTTGCCGAAACAGTTGGACTGCGTCAGATCAGCGCCAAAGCCGCAGCTGCACGCCCCGTGGGCATCGCAGCTGCGCTCCTGGCCGTAGTCGCAAAGGCATTCGCTCGAGCCGCAGCGCTGCGTGCAAGCGCAACTGCCGTGGCCGTCGCACTTGTCCCCCGTGCCGTCTGCGCACACCTCGCCCTGCTTGCCGCAAAGGCTGGTCTGCGTCAGGTTGGCGCCAGAGCTGAAGCGACCGAGGGCCAAGGTTAGTCTGTCGACGCAATTGCACGGTCCGTGGGCGTCGCAGCTGCACTCTTGGTCGTAGTCGCACAGGTACCCGCTCGAGCCACAGCGCTGCGTATGTGCGCAGTTGCCGTGGCCGTCGCTCTTGCACCCCGTGCCGTCGGCGCACACCTGCCCCTGCTTGCCGCAACGGCTGGTCTGCGTGAGGTTCGCGCCAGCCAAAGCTACCGAGTGCCAAAGTGTCTGTCGACGGAGTTGCACGAGCCGTGGGCGTCGCAGCTGCACCGCTGGCAATAGTCGCAAACGTACCCGCTCGAGCCACAACGCTGCGTGCACGAGCAGCTGCCGTGGTCGTCGCACTTGCATCCGGTGCCGCCTGCGAACACCTCGCCCTGCTGGTCACAACGCTCGGGTGGCTTGACACAGTCGCACGAGCCGCGGGCGTGGCAACTGTACTCCAGGCCTTAGTCGCAGAGTGCCCGCTCGAGCCACAAGGCTGCGCGCACGATCAGCTGCCGTGGTCGTCGCACTTGCACCCAGTGCCATCGGCACACACATCGCCCTGCTTGCCGAAACAGTTGGACTGCGTCAGATCAGCGCCAAAGCCGCAGCTGCACGCCCCGTGGGCATCGCAGCTGCGCTCCTGGCCGTAGTCGCAAAGGCATTCGCTCGAGCCGCAGCGCTGTGTGCAAGCGCAACTGCCGTGGCCGTCGCACTTGTCCCCCGTGCCGTCTGCGCACACCTCGCCCTGCTTGCCGCAAAGGCTGGTCTGCGTCAGGTTGGCGCCAGAGCTGAAGCGACCGAGGGCCAAGAATAATCTGTCGACGCAATTGCACGGTCCGTGGGCGTCGCAGCTGCACTCTTGGCGGTAGTCGCACAAGCACCCGCTCGAGCCACAGCGCTGCGTACATCCCCAGGACGAAAGTTTTTTCCTCTTGGGCCCGGAACAACGGTGTGAAGTCTGGAGCAGACCCGTATGATATAACCGCCGTCGGATCTCATGAACCTCGCGCGGGTCCAAATGTGGTTTTGGTGTTTGTTTCGGTGGATCCGATTTCCGTCCGTACGGATCCGATTTCGGATTCGCTGGATCCGTGTCCGGTTTCATTTTTTACGGCGGATCCGAGTTCTACCCTGTTTTAAATTTATATTATTATTATTAAATTAAACCAGGGAGCCGGAAGAAATCGGATCCGCGGACCCCGCAAACCGCCCGTATTAAGATTCTATGGGGGAGGGGGGTTCGGTCATCAATTTTCCACGATGGGCCCTGCGTCGCCTCGCGCACTCCCATCAACTCCCCGCGCGAGCGGGCTCCATTCAACATGAATACATACATACACCCCCCCCCCCTGTTGCTGCAAACAGCTCGTCTGGTCGCCGTCCGTTCGGCGGCGCCGACACTGTCTCGCGAACTCCTCATGGCCATTTTCACCTCAAGAGGAAAATCTTTCGTCCTGCGTAAGTGCGTTTCGGCCCTGCGTCTCCTCACCCAACGGATTGCCAGTGAGATGTGGTGTCGGCTATGTGGTAACCAACGAGTTCGATGGCCAAAACGCTCAGTGCGTTTCGGCCCTGCGTCTCCTCACCCAACGGATTGCCTGTGAGATGTGGTGTCGGCTGTGTGGTAACCAACAACGGATTGCGTGTGAGATGTGGTGTGTCGGCTATGTGGTATGCAACAAGTCCGAAGGCCAAAACGCTGCGTTTCGGCCCTGCGTCTCCTCACCCAACGGATTGCCTGTGAGATGTGGTGTCGGCTGTGTGGTAACCAACAACGGATTGCGTGTGAGATGTGGTGTGTCGGCTATGTGGTACCAACGAGTCCGAAGCCAAAACGCTCATGCGTTTCGGCCCTGCGTCTCCTCACCCAACGGATTGCCTGTGAGATGTGGTGTCGGCTGTGTGGTAACCAACAACGGATTGCGTGTGAGATGTGGTGTGTCGGCTATGTGGTAACCAACAAGTCCGAAAGCCAAAACGCTGCGTTTCGGCCCTGCGTCTCCTCACCCAACGGATTGCCTGTGAGATGTGGTGTCGGCTGTGTGGTAACCAACAACGGATTGCGTGTGAGATGTGGTGTGTCGGCTATGTGGTAACCAACAAGTCCGAAGGCCAAAACGCTGCGTTTCGGCCCTGCGTCTCCTCACCCAACGGATTGCCTGTGAGATGTGGTGTCGGCTGTGTGGTAACCAACAACGGATTGCGTGTGAGATGTGGTGTGTCGGCTATGTGGTAACCAACGAGTCCGAAGGCCAAAACGCTCATGCGTTTCGGCCCTGCGTCTCCTCACCCAACGGATTGCCTGTGAGATGTGGTGTCGGCTGTGTGGTAACCAACAACGGATTGCGTGTGAGATGTGGTGTGTCGGCTATGTGGTAACCAACGGTCCGAAGGCCAAAACGCTGCGTTTCGGCCCTGCGTCTCCTCACCCAACGGATTGCCTGTGAGATGTGGTGTCGGCTGTGTGGTAACCAACAACGGATTGCGTGTGAGATGTGGTGTGTCGGCTATGTGGTAACCAACGAGTCCGAAGGCCAAAACGCTCAGCCGTTCCGGCCCTGCGTCTCCTCACCCAACGGGTTGCCTGTGAGATGTGGTGCCGGCTGTGTGGTAACCAACACGTCCGAAAACCAAAACGCAGCGTTTCGGATTTGCGTCTCCTCACCCAACGGATTGCCTGTGAGATGTGGTGTCGGCTGTGTGGTAACCAACAACGGATTGCGTGTGAGATGTGGTGTGTCGGCTATGTGGTATGCAACAAGTCCGAAGGCCAAAACGCTGCGTTTCGGCCGTGCGTCTCCTCACCCAACGGATTGCCTGTGAGATGGGGTGTCGGCTGTGTGGTAACCAACAACGGATTGCGTGTGGGATGTGGTGTGTCGGCTATGTGGTATGCAACGAGTCCGGCAACCAAACGCTGCGTTTCGGCCCTGCGTCTCCTCACCCCACGGTTTGCCTGTGAGATGTGGTGTCGGCTGTGTGGTAACCAACCACGGATTGCGTGTGAGATGTGGTGTGTCGGCTATGTGGTAACCAACGAGTCCGAAGGCCAAAACGCTCAGTGCGTTTCGGCCCTGCGTCTCCTCACCCAACGGATTGCCTGTGAGATGTGGTGTCGGCTATGTGGTAACCAACGAGTTCGATGGCCAAAACGCTCAGTGCGTTTCGGCCCTGCGTCTCCTCACCCAACGGATTGCCTGTGAGATGTGGTGTCGGCTGTGTGTGGTAACCAACAACGGATTGCGTGTGAGATGTGGTGTGTCGGCTATGTGGTATGCAACAAGTCCGAAGGCCAAAACGCTGCGTTTCGGCCCTGCGTCTCCTCACCCAACGGACTGCCTGTGAGATGTGGTGTCGGCTGTGCGGCAACCAACAACGGATTGCCTGTGAGATGTGGTGTGTCGGCTATGTGGTAACCAACGAGTCCGAGGCCAAAACGCTGCGTTTTCGGCCCTGGCGTCTCCTCAACCCAACGGATTGCGTGTGAGATGTTGGTGGTCGGGCTATGTGTGACACGAGTCCGAAGGCCCAAACGTCAATGCGTTTTGGCCCTAGCGCTCCTCACCCCACGCTTGCCTGTGATATGTGGTGTCCGGCCTGTGTGTAACCACACGGATTGCGTGTAAACGGTGGTGGGTGTCGGCTATATGGTATGCAACAAGTCCGGCCCAAAACTCTGCGTTTCGGCAACTGCGTCTCCTCACCCAACGGACTGCCTGTGAGATGAGGTGTCGGCTGTGTGGTAACCAACAACGAATTGCGTGTGAGATGTGGTGTGTCGGCTATGTGGTAATCAACGAGTCCGAAAACCAAAACGCTGCGTTTCGGCCCTGCGTCTCCTCACCCAACGGATGCCTGTGAATGTGGTGTCGCTGTGTGGAACCAACACACGGAATTGCGTGTGAGAATGTGGTGTGTCGGCTATGGCGTAACCAACACGTCCGAAAAACCAAACGCTCTGTTGCGTTTCCGCCCTGCGTCTCCTCACCCAACGGATTGCCTGTGAGATGTGGTGTCGGCTGTGTGGTAACCAACAACGGATTGCGTGTGAGATGTGGTGTGTCGGCTATGCGGTGAACAACGAGTCCGAAAGCCAAAACGCTGCGTTTCCGCCCTGCGTCTCCTCACCCAACGGATTGCCTGTGAGATGTGGTGTCGGCTGTGTGGTAACCAACCACGGATTGCGTGTGAGATGTGGTGTGTCGGCTATGTGGTAACCAACGAGTCCGAAGGCCAAAACGCTCATGCGTTTCGGCCTGCGTCTCCTCACCCAACGGATTGCCTGTGAGATGTGGTGTCGGCTGTGTGGTAACCAACAACGGATTGCGTGTGAGATGTGGTGTGTCGGCTATGTGGTAACCAACGAGTCCGAAGGCCAAAACGCTCAGTGCGTTCGGCCCTGCGTCTCCTCACCCAACGCCCTGCGTCTCCTCACCCAAACGGATTGCCTGTGAGATGTGGTGTCGGCTGTGTGGTAACCAACAACGGATTGCGTGTGAGATGTGGTGTGTCGGCTATGTGGTAACCAACGAGTCCGAAGGCCAAAACGCTCATGCGTTTCGGCTAACCAACAACGGATTGCGTGTGAGATGTGGTGTGTCGGCTATGTGGTAACAACAAGTCCGAAGGCCAAAACGCGCTGCGTTTCGGCCCTGCGTCTCCTCACCCAACGGATTGCCTGTGAGATGTGGTGTCGGCTGTGTGGTAACCAACAACGGATTGCGTGTGAGATGTGGTGTGTCGGCTATGTGGTAACCAACGAGTCCGAAGGCCAAAACGCTGCGTTTCGGCCCTGCGTCTCCTCACCCAACGGATTGCCTGTGAGATGTGGTGTCGGCTGTGTGGTAACCAACAACGGATTGCGTGTGAGATGTGGTGTGTCGGCGTGTGCGTCTCCTCACCCAACGGATGCCTGTGTGTGTCGGCTATTGTCCCAACGAGTCCGAAGGCCAAAACGTGCGGCCCTGCGTCTCCTCATGCCTGTTGTGGTGTCGGCTGTGTGGTAACCAACAACGGATTGCGTGTGAGATGTGGTGTGTCGGCTATGTGGTATGCAACAAGTCCGAAGCCAAAACGCTGCGTTTCGGCCCTGCGTCTCCTCACCCAACGGATTGCCTGTGAGATGTGGTGTCGGCTGTGTGGTAACCAACAACGGATTGCGTGTGAGATGTGGTGTGTCGGCTATGTGGTAACCAACGAGTCCGAAGGCCAAAACGCTCATGCGTTTCGGCCCTGCGTCTCCTCACCCAACGGATTGCCTGTGAGATGTGGTGTCGGCTGTGTGGTAACCAACAACGGATTGCGTGTGAGATGTGGTGTGTCGGCTATGTGGTATGCAACGAGTCCGAAGGCCAAAACGCTGCGTTTCGGCCCTGCGTCTCCTCACCCAACGGATTGCCTGTGAGATGTGGTGTCGGCTGTGTGGTAACCAACAACGGATTGCGTGTGAGATGTGGTGTGTCGGCTATGTGGTAACCAACGAGTCCGAAGGCCAAAACGCTCATCCCCAGGACGAAAGTTTTTCCTCTTGGGCCCGGAACGACGGTGTGAAGTCTGGAGCAGACCCGTATGATATAACCGCCGTCGGATCTCATGAACCTCGCGCGGATCCAAATGTGGTTTTGGTGTTTGTTTCGGTGGATCCGATTTCCGTCCGTACGGATCCGATTTCGGATTCGCTGGATCCGTGTCCGGTCTCATTTTTCACGGCGGATCCGATTTCTACCCTGTTTTAAATTTATATTATTATTAAATTAAACCAGGGAGCCGGAAGAAATCGGATCCGCGGACCCAGAAAACCGCCCGTGTTAAGATTCTATGGGGGAGAGGGGGTTCGGTCATCAATTTTCCACGATGGGCCCTGCGTCGTCTCGCGCACTCCCATCAACTCCCCGCGCGAGCGGGCCCCATTCAACATGAATACATACATACATACATCCCCCCCCCCCCTGTTGCTGCAAACAGCTCGTCTGGTCGCCGTCCGTTCGGCGGCGCCGACACTGTCTCGCGAACTCCTCATGGCCATTTTCACCTCAAGAGGAAAATCTTTCGTCCTGCGTAAGTATGTGCGCAGTTGCCGTGGCCGTCGCTCTTGCACCCCGTGCCGTCGGCGCACACCTGCCCCTGCTTGCCGCAACGGCTGGTCTGCGTGAGGTTCGCGCCAGAGCCAAAGCTACCGAGTGCCAAAGTGTCTGTCGACGGAGTTGCACGAGCCGTGGGCGTCGCAGCTGCACCGCTGGCAATAGTCGCAAACGTACCCGCTCGAGCCACAGCGCTGCGTGCACGAGCAGCTGCCGCGGTCGTCGCACTTGCATCCGGTGCCGCCTGCGAACACCTCGCCCTGCTGGTCACAACGCTCGGGTGGCTTGACACAGTCGCACGAGCCGCGGGCGTCGCAACTGCACTCCAGGCCTTAGTCGCAGAGTACCCGCTCGAGCCACAGCGTTGCATGCACGCACAGCTGCCGCGGTCGTCGCACTTGCACCCCGTACCATCGGCGCACACATCGCCCTGCTGGCCGCAGCACTCGGGTGGCTTCACACAGCTGCACGAGCCGTGGGCGTCGCAGCTGCTCTCCTGGCCGTAGTTGCACAGGTACCCGCTCGAGCCGCAGCGCAATTGCCGTGGTCGTCGCACTTGCACCCCGTGCCGCCTGTGCACACCTCGCCCTGCTTGCCGCAAAGGTTGGCCTGCGTCAGGTTGGCACCAGAGCCGAGGCGTCCAAGGACGGCGCGGGCGGTGCAGGCGAGGAGGACCAGGAGCGGCAGCGCCATGCTTCTGCGAAAGCAGGGGAAGCCGCGAGCTGACCGGCAGAGGCGAGGGGCGGGCAAAATGGGAGGCCCTTGAGCCAAGGGGTCCTTGAGCCATGTGGTCCCCCTCCCCCATGTCCTGGGGGGGCAACGTTGAAAGGGGGACCGGCCTCGAGCTGGAATCGGCGATGCAAAACCGCACGCTCCCAGGCGGCGGCGGGCTATTGGGCCCCTCTCGGCGACGAGTGGGCGGTGAGTGGGCGATTAGGAGCCGATGCATCCCCCCCTGATCAAAGAGACGTAAGACTCGGGCTCGGGGTACTCGGGTTGGCCTGACGGGGCCGTCAAGAAAATGACAAGACCCGCTTTGAAATTCGACGCGAGCTGCCGCTGCAAATATTCCACGATAACTGAACCGTCACAATGCAGGACGGGCTCGTCGAAAAACGTCGGCAAGCCCGAGGCTCTGGCGAACTCGAGTCTTACGTTTTCCCGACCTGAGCCCATCCCGCTCAAACTTTGCCCCTTGGCTTTCGGGTCGGAACTCGGTTCTCTGGCGTGGGCGGCCGTTCGGGACGTTCTGGGCACCCTGGAAGGCTCTCGGCGAGGCGCAGCTGCAGGAGAACATCCCGAGGCCGGGAAACCGCCGAGAACCGACAGGAACATACGAAAACCTGGGACCTCGAACCTCAACCTTAAACCTCGGATTTCCTCCCCTGACCCTATCCCCGCCCCAACGTTGCCCCTGAGCGTGGCCCATCCCCCAAAGCGTTGCTTCCGACGTGCGCCGCCGACGGTGGCCGCGACCTGCCCGGCGAGCCCGACGCCCCCGAGGCGGCTCGGCGCGCGCCCAACGGTGGCTGCTCTGGCGCCCACGCCTGCGCAGCGGGCTCTCAAGGGGCTCAGGGACACACACACACATATATATACATATATATACATATATACACATACACACATATGTGTATACATATATACATATATATATATACATATGTATATTCATATGTTTAGTTGTACATGTATGTACGTATGTATGTATGTATGTATGTATGTATGTATGTATGTATATATGTACGTATGTACACGACTGCATTGGCGCTTCGCACCATGCGCCATGTTTGTTTGAGTATCGCGCGCAGGCGGCGCGCGTGCGCGTGTACCTTCGCGCATGAGCATGCGCATGCCTGTGTGCACGCGCTCGTGCATGCTCGTTATACATTTGTCTGTACACACATGCAGTTGATAGTATCAACAGGTGATATGTGTATATGCATGTATAACGTCGCAGTATGGATGCGCATACATGTGTGTCATGTCTGCTTGTACATGTTTACGCGTGCACATATGCATGCATGTACGCATGTACACATACATGAGCACGCGCCTGCGCGCGCAGGGGGGCAACGCATAGACTCACCGGCCCAACGGGCCAGAGGTGTGCCGAAAGCTTTGGCAATAGGTTTAGGAAGTTTCCAGTTCGCGCGCGCGTGGCGGCCCGTGGGGGTGCACGGTCCAAAAGTACCCCGGGCACTGCTGCTCAAGGATGCTTGAGCTCTTGGGGCCCGTCTTCAAGGCTCTCAGGTTCGTCTCGGAGGGCCCCAAGAGGCCTCCAATACGGTCCAAGAGGGGTCCGAGACGCCCGATGATCGCTCCAAGACGCCCAAGATGGCCTCCAGACGGCCCAAGAGGCCTCCAAGACGCCCAAGATGGCCTCCAGAAGGCCCAAGAGGCCTCCGAGACGCCCCAAGAGGCCTTCAAGAGCACTTCCAAACAACCCGAAACACAACTATCAAACCCTCTTGGAGCGTCGCGGGGGCGCCGGGGGAGTGGCACAGCAGCGCGCCCTCTCGGTCGCGGCCGCGACGATAGCCGCGTTCACGAAGAGGAGAAGGCACATCGCGGAAAGCCCGATACAACTGAGCCTCGAACCGCGACGTGCCCATTCGACGCAGTCCATGGATGTAGCGCTTGGCCTGGGACTCGTACTTGTTGTTGCCTTTGCCGAGGCCCGTCGTCGCTGGGTGGTCCCACGCCACAGGCGCGTGATCCATGACAGGCTCGAGTGCCCTCTCAGCGGGAGGAACGAGCATATCTTCAGTGGCTTGCCCAAGCCCGCGTCGATCTCCAGGCGGCCGATGACCAGGTGCGGGGCCTGCGCGCGGTGGGCCGTCGTCGTCTTCGTCGTCATCTCGTCGGGGCTCGCGGTGCCGCTTGCCGTTGACCTCCGCCAGGGCTTGAGCGCGAGCCTCAGCACCTCCGTGGGAACGCTGTGCGGCGGCGCCGCTCGGCGGAGCAGTTGCGAGACGTAGCGCTGGCGGAAGTCCTCGAAGAAGTCGATGGGGGGACGCGTCCAGCCCGCCGTCGGCGCCAGGTTGGGCGAAGTACTGGACCACTTCGCGGCATCGTGGCGCCAAGCTGTCGGCCATGCTGCACCTCCTGCGCCTCCGACCTCGACGCCGCGCCGCCAAGAGATGGGGCGGCCGCCAGGCTTCAACAAACTGACGACGACGCCAAGCCTCCGCCATCTGATGCACAAGCATGGCCACCTTCTCCTCCTCGCGCGCACGGCGATGGGGCCGCAGTCGACGAGAGGCGCGCGCCGGCGCCACCGACGCCTCGAGCGCGTCCACCCCGTCCTCGCGGATTCGGCGACGAGCTGCCAGCAGCGAGAGCCTCTCAACACGCATGCGCACGAAACGAGGCTCCTCAGGACGGGACCCCGTGAAGTGCCGCAGCGCTGTCTCAGAGACCGTCTCCATCCAGCGCCCCCAGGCCGCGTCGGATGCTGCCTCGGAGTAGAGCAGGTCGAAGTAGTCGGGGTGCGTGGCGAAGGCCACCTCCAAATCTTGGGCGACTTGCTTGACGCCCTCGCCACTGCGGAGAGCTTTGCCCAGCCTGTCAACATCCCCACGGATTCGCGGCGGTACGTTGGAAGCCTTCAGCGTGAAAATCACATCCATGAGCAATGGTACATGGTCCTGTAGCCCAGGCCGCGTGATGAGCTTGAGCTTCAGGTTCGAAGCCTTCAGCGCGACGACGCGGCGCACCGAGGGGACCTGCCAACTGAACACTGCAAGATGGTCGATGTGCGAAGCTGTGCGGGCCCGTAGTACGTCGGTCAACACATCAAACCCACTCGAGATCACCCCCAGCCCGTAGCGCTCGCACAACTCTGGAACTTTTGTTGCCACCGTAGCGCTGCGGCGCCAGACCGGAGGCCCCGGCGCTGTTGACACAATCGTCCGATCACACCCTTGGCGTGTGCCCGCAAGCCGAGACCATCATTCAGGTCGAAGCCGAAGAACATGAAGAGGCCCCGGTACACACAAATAAATAGACACAAATAGGATTCACCATATCTCTTAATATTTTCTGGGTTTTTGTTTCCCCCCCCACTTCCCATATTTTCCCATATGCTCTAGGGAATCCACGGTTAATTGTGCCTGTCTTTCTTTCCCTCCTGAGAACAGACCACTCCTGCCGCTCGCCCACGCCAGCGTCTTCTCCAGCCAAAATCACACAGCACGACGACCGTCCGGCGATGCTGCAGGTGGGTGCAGCCGTCGCCGCTCTCCAGGGCCTCGTTCTTGGACGAAGGCCGTGGCGGGAAATAGACTTACGTCGGGCGTGTCCCTCTACAGGAGGAATGTTCAAAACTAGTCAAAAAATAATCAGGGGACGATGTTTTGAGCATTTTTTGAAAATGTGGTTGCTAATATTTTTTATTTGTCGTCCAAAAGTCGCCTGTAGGAGGACAGGCCCAACCTAAAATTAGACCGTTGGCACCACGATGTCGAAGCGGCCTGACCTCAGCCTCGCGATCGCCGCTCGGTCCTCTCGCTTGGCAGGGACAGGCGGCACATCCGCTGTGTGCGGGTCGCGGAACACACGTCTCCCGAGCAGAGGAATGCTGCCACGGCTCCTGTGAGCATGAGGCCCCGGTCTTCCCGGAGCTCTGCGCGCCGCGCGGTACGGTTCTGAGCGGTACGCTCCGTCGTGCCGCTCCGCTCGGGCAGATCACGTCTGTGTGCACGTCGTTCATTTCTGATCGTGCTCACTTCTGATTGTGCTCGTTTCTAGCTGTTCCTGGCCCCCTAGTGGCCAGGAAGAGGCCCAGGATAGAACAATTAGAAATGAGAGGATCTTGGCCCCCTAAAAACCAATGAACTCTAGAAAAATTAGAAATGAACCATGTGTAGCGAAACTCGGCTGAAATATCACAAAGCCTCTCCTCTTGGCTTGGTTCGCACTCGGAACATTGCAGTGCAGAAACTTCATCGTACGGCACAGGCCAAAGAGAAGAGGCATCGCTGCGGCTTGGGAGGTCCCGCGGGCGCGGCTATGGAGATGCGCCGTGCGACGCTGGCTGGCCCCTGATTCAACATCTCGGGCAAACGGGGCCAGGAGGAGGAAGAAGAGGAGGAGGAGGAAGAGGAGGAGGAGGAGGAGGGGAGAAGAGAGAGAGAGAGAGAAAGATGATAGAGAGAAAAGGGGAAGAGAGGAGGAGCAGAGAGAGGAAAAACAGAAGAGAGGAGAGGAGAAGGAGGAAGAGCAGGAGGAAGAGGTTAACGCGGAGGAGGAGCAAGAGAAAGAGGAAGAGGAGGAGCGATGACGAGGCGTAGCGAGTAGCGATGAGGAGGAGGGCCCGCCCGAGGGCAGAGGCCCAGCAGGCCTGGCGCCGCTCCGGCGGCTGCTCCGGGCGTGCCATCCCCCCCGCGGCGCCCCGGCAGGCCTCGGGCGCTGCCCGGCCGCTTGCGGCACAGGCGCCCGCGGGGCCCGCCCCCCGAACCGAGAGGGGCAGGAGAGCCTGCATCGGCAGCCCAGTCGGGAAAGGCCGAATCGGCGGGCATCTGCAGCCTCCCTGTTGACACATCGAAGCCCGATTCGGGATCCGGCTGTCGAAGCGAAGCAGGATGAGAGGCCATCGAGATCGAGTCGGATCGAATCGAGGGGATCGAACCGAGCCCTGCGGGGGTCGCCTCTCTCTCGCTCGGGCGGCCCTTCCCCGTGCATGCTTCGACTGCGCGCGCTGACTTCCTCGAGAGATGCTCCAAAGCATGCTGCTCGGTGGCCCTCGCCGGGAACACGCAGACGTCCGAGCGAAGCCAAACCGCTTCATGGAGGGGGGCGACAAGTGGGGGGAGGAAAGGTGCACTGATCGGGCCCCCAGAGGCCCCCTGCAGACAGTCAGGCAAGTCGGTGCGATTTGAGAGTCCGGCCCCAAGTCTCACATCGCACGACGGTGTCAGACTGTCGGTCCAGCCAGGCCAGGGGCCTTCGGCCCAGACAACCTGGGGAAAGCGGGTGTGGCGGCAGGTCGCGGGCGATGGGCGCAGCGTCGGGCGCCCGAAAAAGAGTGCATGGGCCCCTGCAGACGTTGACGAGGGTCCCCGAACGGGAGCGTCAACCTCGCCTCGGGCGTCGGATGCGGTACGGATCCGCTACGGATGCCCTGCGGATCCGAAGCTTCTCGGACGGATGCTTTTCGAATTCGACGGGTTTGGGACGGGTCCGAGTGGTGGGAATCGCGCGTTTGTCACGGATCCTGTCAGACCGCTGTACCCGTGCAAAATATCAATAAAGAGCAGCGAAAGAACTCCGAGGACGACTTGCGCAGGGCACGGGGCTGGCGCGACAGGGGGGGAAGGCGCCTTCTAGAACTTTACTAAGGCGCTTCTCATAAAAACTTTCCTCCGGCGGCCCTTCCTAGAACTTTACTGAGCTGTTCCTGCCAGACCTCCCCTCACGCGGCTCCTTGTAAACCTTCCTGAGTTGCTCCTCTGGGTTCCGACGTTTTGGCCGTCGCGCGTTCTGATCACTGGACCTCGCCGTCGCCGGCGTCGTCGTCGTCGCCGCCGCCGTCGCCGCCGTCGTGAGCTCTTTGAGCCAACAAGTCGACGGCCCCGGCCCACTTGCGCGCAGCAGCCCCTCCCCCAACTCGCCCGTGGGAGCTCCTGGCCCGGAGGCGCCGCCAGGGGCGCGCGGGGAAGGAGGAGGAGGAGGAGGAGGAGGTCGAGGAGGAGGAGGAGGAGGAGGAGGAGGAGGAGTTTGAAGGAGCCCCGGGGCACACAAACAATTTTTTGATCCGCGGGTCGAGAGCGCACCTCTTCCGGTCGAAGCTGAGCGGGCCGCGCGAAGCTTGAATTAACAAAGAGGGGGTGAAGGGAATGAGCGCAGCCTCACGGCAAGGCCAGGAGGAGGCAAAGCCTCGGGATCAGGCGGTGCCGAAAAAAGCGTGCTTGCAAAGGAACGCCTTGTCGGGGCACACAAACAAATGCACACGAATCCCAGGATTCCCCATCTCTTTTCCCATCTTTGTATGGTCTCTGCCGTCTTCCCCTCCCACTTTTCCCATACCTTCGCCTCTATTTGTTCCTGGGCGTCCATGGTGTCTGTGTGTTTCTTCCCTCCCGAAGCAGGGCCCGGGGCGCAAACCCAGAGCCTCGCAGAGCAGATGCTCTTCCAGAAGTCGGCCCCTCGCAGGAGCGGCCCTGGGCAAGAGTGGCGTTTTGGTGCGCGGCTCTTGGTGGTGCGGCGGGGGGGGGCCAAGCACGAGCGCGCAAGACGCTGCTGTCGCACCGCGTTCGGCGATCGGGGGACTCCAATGTGCCCGCACCACAGGTCACTCTTAGGTCGGGCATGTTCCCCTACAGGCGGAGCTTGGACGACAAATGAAACATACTCGAAACAACTTCAAACATAGACCGACAAAATTGTAGGAAAATCGCCTCCCGGCTATTTTTTTACTATTTTTGAATATTCCTCCTGTAGAGGGACACGCCCGACTTAAGGTCACTCTGGCGAAGGGTCAGTCTTACGTGTAGTCGAAGAAGGCGAGGGGTCGAGGCATCGCGCTGCCCCCCGATGAAGACGATGAAGACTGTTGTCGGGAGGCGGGCATCGATCACGCCTGCCGACGATGCCCTCCCGCTGCGAAGTGCGTGCATTGGACACGCTGCGTGCAGCGCCTCCGAGCTGAGAGAGGGAGGGAGGCGCTGACAACTAGGCGATCGACAGTTCATCCATGCCCCTGCTCGCGCCCCAGCCACACGAGGAGCCAGAGCGGGGATAGCCATGGATGAGTTCGAAATTCCTGGCGTCCGAGGCCGCGTTTTTGTTGTACCCGGCAGGGGTATGGACCGAACGTCGATCCCCGAACAACCGAGCGCAGGGCGGGCGCGTGAGACCAGCAAGGGCACCCTACCTTTGCGCACCGCGCCGGGCGATGAGCACTTACCTTCCCTCCCCCACCCTGACTCCCTGCACCCCTGTGTCTCTGTGTTCCCGCGTCCCTATCCCTCTTATCCTGATCCCCATCCCCACATTGCCGTATATCTCCATATCCCCAGGCCCAGATGCCTGCCCCTGTCCCTATTCCGATCCACCCACGTGGCCCCCACCCTGACTGCGGATCCGCCGAATTTTGGGTGATTTCGCAGGCAGGGCGGAAGTTTCTGCCCTACTTTTCAAGCTCCTTTGGTGCTGGTTTCCGCCCTACTTGGCCGCCAATGTTGCCGCCATACTTTTGCGGAAACATCCGCCCCACTTTTTCTGAGGCTGCCAGAAAGCGCCCGCCACGACACACATACCATAAAATGTCTCGTATAAGCAGAAGCATGTGGGGGTGATGCCGGTGAAAGCTTACACCGACAAATCAACCGACGCACGACGGAGTTGGAGCCTGGGCGCAGGAGGGGCACAGCGGTCCGGCCAGAGGCCGCGGCGCGCGCACCTGTGAACAGCTTCTCGCGCCACGTGCGAGCGACCTAATTAGGAGGACCGCGGAAGGGGAGAGAGAAGGCCTCGGGCGGGTGGCACGGCGGAGGGACAAGATCCTGCACCTCTTCGTAGATGTTCGTTCTAATATGGGCAGGCTGTGACACGATTTGTCGATCTGCCGACTGCCCAAATCCTGCACCCCGCGGGCGCAGCCAATCAACACTGAATCGGGGGCAGGGGGGCGCGTGGAAGTTTGCGCCGTCGCCCCAGTTGCGTGGCTGGTGCAGGATTTTGTCCATCCACCGTATGGGGGGTGACCTAAATTTAGGTCGGGCATGTCCTCCTACAGGCGGATGCTTGAGGACAAGTGGAAAAACGGCCAGCAAATATCCAAACGTAGCCAAAAAATAATAGAAATATCGTCCCCATGGTATTTTTTTGCTATTCTTGGAAACCTGATAAATTGGAGGGGTGTACGCGCCTGACTTAAACCTAAATGGGAGGGGAAGAGAAAAGGGGCCCCTTTTAGAGCCGGCAGGGCCCCCCCCCACTGAAGTCGGCCCCCCATTACCCACCCGCCAGAAGGCCTGCGGCAAGTTCGTGTAGTGACGACCCCGGCATTGCATCCCGACACCGCGGGGGTTGCTCAAACCTGAACGATCGGCTGTCCCAGAAACGCCAGATGGGCCGATCATGGGCCGCGGGCGACGTTCAGCCTGAAACGCCCGTGCTTTGAGCAGGGACCGACCGTCCCGGCATTCCTATAGGCCTACCACGACATGCTCGTAGAACCCAAAAATGTTCTAAGAACCAAAACAATGTTCTTAGAACACAAACCCGATGCGCGCGAAAACACGACAGCCCCGGCCAGAAATGTGCTCAGAACCTTCCGTGGAAGCCACAAGAGGTTCTCAGAACACTCTTCGAGTGCTGGGGGCCGCCGCCAATCGACACGACGCGAACCTGCCTTGGGATCCTGCCACTCGGCCCCAGAGAGGCCCTCGCCGGGGGGCCCCCGGCACTGCGGCGGGGACCCTCGGGAGGTCAGGCGGCGAGGGGCTCGCAGCTCCGGCAGGCGCGGGGAGCGCCGCCGTCGGCGCGGACCTCGACGGCCGGGCGCGGCTCCAGGCCCTGCAGCCGGTCGAGGATGGCCTTGCCCTGCTTCACGAGCACGAAGAGCTCCGACGGCTTGTCCGCCTGCGAGCGCATGATTCCGTCCACGAACTCCTCGATGTCTATGACGCCGCTCCCGTCGTAGTCCATCAGGCTGAACACCTCCTCGAGCTCGTCCAGGCCGACGATGTGCTGTATGGCCTCCTTGATGTCGGGCGGGGCGTTCAGGAGTTCCTCGCGGTCCACCTCCCCGTCGCCGCTCGTGTCCAGAGCGAAGAAAATGCTCCTCAACTTGGGCATCAGGATCTTCCGCCTGACGCTCTTCCACGCTTTCTTCGCCTCCTGTCGGCGATCCCGAAGGGTGTGGTTTGCAAAGGGTGGGGTGTGGTTTTGCAACCCGCGCCTGCAGGAAAGGGCGAGGGCCTCGAGCGAGACCCCTGCCGCGCCCCGACGAGGGATCACCGAACCTTTGGCGCAACGGGTTGGCCCCCAGACCCCAGCGGCGCCGATCGCAAAACAACACACCCTGGCGCAACCACACCCACGCTGCAGCAGCAGAGCCTGGTCTTCGCTGGCGGTGCGCAGGGACGATTCGACCATGATCGCCGTCCGCCGCCGTGCCCTCCAGCGCACGCTTGTTTGGAGCGGGCGGCAGGACGCGCCCCCTGCCCAAAAACCGGACCAACAAGCTGGTGGTGCTTCAGCCCCAAGGCCCGAGGAGAAAGAACACACCGCTTCGGGGGCACCTGGGGGTGCCACCCAAACGGGGGCTAACTTCGGATTTCGCAGCGAAGTCGACGAAATTCAAACGCAACTTCGAATCGAATCCCACCAGCACTCTGGGCGTAGGCTGTGTAACGAAGCCTGCTTTCTGCAAAAAGCTCCCTCCTCCCCGTGCTCCGGGGAGGGGCATATCACTGCTCCCTATTGATAAACACCCCCTCCCCCACCCGACCGCGGGCCAACCCAAGACATGCTCCCGCCCCCCCGCCACCATCCCTGTCAAAAACAAAGCAGGATACACTCTGCCTCCAAATCTCGAGCACGCGCAGCCGCCTCGCGACCACTCTGTATGATTTTTGACAGGGACGGCGGGGCGGCCGGCATGCTGTTTCTTGCGCACGAGTTGCGCGCAAGCCGATCGTCTGTCCCCCCCAAAAAATACAGAATGCACCTTGCCTCCACATCCACAACATGCACGGGCGCCCCGCGACCACTCGGCGGGCGCCACGAGACCACTCCGCAGTGGTTTTTGAAAGAGATGGCGGGGGTACCGGCATATTGTTTGATGCGCGCAAACCAACCATCCCTTACCACGAAACAATACATCATGTACATCGCCTCCAGCTCTGGAACACGCGCGGGCGCCCTATCCACCACTGCCATTGGCTTTTGACACCTGTTGCAAGCAAGTTGCGCGCAAGCCAAACAGCGCTGCCCCAAAGAGCAATACAGAGTGCGCTTCGCGTCCAAATCCGCAGCACTCGCGGGCGCCCCGCAACCGCTCCTCATGTGTTTTTAACAGGCATGGCGGGAGTGCCAACATATTGCTTGACGCGCGCAGGCCAACCATCCCTTCCAAAAAGACAATGCAAAATTGAAGGTGCCCTGGGACACACAACTTAATGCACACAAATAAAAGGATTCCCCATATTTTCTCATATCTTTTCGGTTTTTGTCGTCCCCACCACTTCCCATATTTTCTGGGGAATGGAGGACTAATTGTGTCTGTGTGTTTCTTTCCCTCCTGAAAAATCCCATTATCGTTTGGCCCTCCATGTGTCTTGTGGTGGATGGATATTTTTGGTGCTGTAACTGTGAGAACCACCTCACGGTCCCGCTGCGCAAACCACGTGGGATCCCATTTCGCCATGTCTGCATGGTCCCACCGCTCTGGAGCTGCATGGTCATCATCAAAACAGCACTCGTCGATGCCAGGCTCGTCGTGCTCCAGATTGTGCATAGCAACGGCATCCCAGCCGTCTCGTGGAGCACGTGTCGCACTTGCCGCGCCTCGCACGCTTGGGCCTCCAGGGCGCCTGGTGCACCTGGCCCCTCGGCGCACATGGCATGCGTGGCGTTCCTCGGCGATGCGCCGAGACTCGGGAACTACTTATGTGTTGGGAGGGCGGGTGGGAGTGAGCGAAAAAGCTTGCGGTCTCGGGCCCCAAGATGCCCCCCAGGAAGCCCCAGGAAGTCCCCAGGAGTCCCAAAAGATCCCGCCAGGACCCCAGAAGCTCGAGATTGCTCCAAAACGTCCCAAGCGGCCTCCAAGAGCACTCCCGAGAGGGCTCCGAGAGGCAACATTCCTTGACTTTCCGGTGGTTGGTGGGGGATTTGTCAGCTCTTCCCTTTTCGGCTTCCTGACGCCGAGAGGCAACATTCCTTGACTTTCCGGTGGGTGGTGGGGGATTTGTCAGCTCTCCCCTTTTCGGCTTCCTGACGCTCCAAGGCAGCCCACGAGGCCCCCAAGAGCGCCCTACGACGGCCCGACAGACCTCCCAAGAGGGCCCCCATCCGGCCAAAGAGGGCCCCGCGACAGTCCCGGCAGGGCCCCAGGAGGCCCCAGGAGGCTCCCAAGAGGCTCCGAAGAGCCGAAGAGGCCCCAAGAGGCCTCCCAGAGGCCCCCAGGAAGCCCCAAGAGGTCCCCAAGAGTCCGCTCCCAAGAGGCTCCGAAGAGCCGAAGAGGCCCCAAGAGGCCTCCATGAGGCCCCCAGGAAGCCCCAAGAGGTCCCCAAGAGTCCCAAAGGATCCCGCCAGGACCCACAGAAGTTCGAACACGCCCGAAAAGGCCCCCAGGAAACGGGCCCAAAACGGGCCAGGAGCCCGAGCATGACCCCAAAACAGCTCAAGACTGGCACAAGCCATAACGGGACTGCACCACGTCCCACGGAGGCCCTCAGAAGGCTCCGGGAGGATCCAATAAGGTCCACGTGACGTGAACATTCTGAACGCGAGGCCTCCCAAGAGCGAACGGCGAAGCAAAACAACTTCAGCGTCGAGGTAATTGGGCATCCGTTGCGACACTGTCCCGAGGCCCCCCAAGACCCTCACACGGCTCCATCCATAATTCCAAAGACACGGTCATTGGTAAACCCAGGTCGCCGTTCCACATTCTGCCGTGTCCTCCATGCCGTCTCCTACCCAATTCTGTCGGCACTCGCGAGCCCTTCACTGCGTTTCTGGCCCCACTCCACCTCTGTGGCAACGACCGCGTACATGTATACAGACATGCACATGTATACACGTAGATCTGCCCAAGTAGGCATGAAACATATGTATGCGCGAGCATGTATCTACACGTATATCTATGAATATCTATATATATATATAAACAAACGTATGGCGTGCATGCAAGTGCGCGCGTGTGACACGTATGCACATATTCGCGCGCGCATGCGCAGGCACGCCGCCCGCGTGCGAAACTCTAAAGACCAAGGTGCATGGCGCGAAGCGCCACTGTAGTCTTGCATATATCTCTCTCTAGATATACATGTTTATATGCATACACACATGCATGCATGCATGCATGCATACATACGTACATAAAATACACGCACATTCATTCATTCAAACATACATACACACATACACACATACACGCATGCAGACATACACACATACATGCATGCATGCATGCATGCATGCATACATACATACATGTATGCATACAGACAAGCAGACAGACAGACATACAAACATCCATCCGTCCATCCATCCATCCATCCATACATACACATATGTGCAGGTATGTTGCCACACATATATACATAGATAAACACATAAAACAGATGCTCAAATATCTGTATATTCTGGCAGTCTGGGCTGATGTCGAAAGGCAGTCACATAGATTGCTGCGCTGGAGCGATGGAGGAACTTGCCGCAGGCAACTGGATAACAATATTCATGAGGGCAATGGGACCAAGCAGGATGAAGATCACGAAGTAGATAACCAGCCATGGCTTCGTCGTGATCAATGGTCTGTATATCGCGGCCACGCTATCAAGGGTGAGCAGCTGCATCAGAGTCAGCATGGCTCCCCCGATTGTGTCATAGTGGTGCGCAGCAGTGCTGTAGTCAGAATTCCCGCCCGAGACTTGGATGGTTTCCATGGCTATGACGGCGAACACGTATATCACAACGATCAAAAAAGAAGGAAAACACCAGAAACATAAACTTTTGGCGCTCCGCGCGGATTTCTTGGATCCGCGCTGGACCCCCCTCCCTGGCGCGCGGAGCGCGCCAGGGGCGGCGCCGGAAGCGCCGCTGGGGGGACCCGGCGCGGATCCAAGAAATCCGCGAGGAGCGCCAACAGTTCGTGCTCATCGCGTTTTTCTTCTTCGAGATCATGAGGATGGCCGTCCAGAACATCGGCAGGACGGCGTACATCAGCCCCTGGACGAGCATCCACAGGGTGCGGAACTGGACGATCACCCGCACGGTCTTCACGAGGCGGCACAGCCGCAGCACCTTCAGGATGTTGACGTGGTCCACGGCGCGAGCCGCCGCGCCGCCGCCCAGCGACGTCACCGTGAGCAGAAAATTGAGGATGCCTGGGGCGCACGGAGGGCACACCGATCCTGGACGTGTCCTCCCGGGAGGCGCGCGTCCGACCCGAACGTTTCCCGAGCGGTACGGCCAGACGGCGCCCGCCACGAAACTTCTGACGTAAGATTTCTCGGTGCGCGCGTCGCCGGGGGGGCGGGCGACGCGGGCAGAGTATCAGTATGTTGGGGTGACGCCGAAAACCTGCCGCCACCATCGCAGCATCGAACTTCACCCAGTGGCTCGAGAGCGCCCTTCGTCCGCCGCTGGCGCAGACTCGCAGGAGCAGCTCTATGCAGTAGAGGATGACGAAGGCGTACTCCAGGAAATGGAGCGACGCAGGGATTCGATGCCCGTGCCGCGAGATGGAGGTCTCCATGCCTATCGTGAAGGCGTTGATGATGATGACGATGCCCATGCCGAAATCAAAGTTTGAGCTTGCAACGACCTTGTATGAGAGCATTCTGCATCGACTGGCTTCATCAGGGGCGGGTGCTTCCAACGACGTCATACGCGCACCCGCTCTCTTCGCGAACACGCTCTCCTCATGTTCCATCTCCTCGTCCCTGAGACTCTTGCAGGCCTCCTGCTCGCGAGTACTCAGCCTGCCCTGCCATTTATCGATGCACCTGTTGCCGCGAATGGGATTATCGCAGAGACGCACCGACGAAAGCCGCGACCTTCGGTTGCTGGACCCCGTATTCTTGCTTGCGCTCGTCGTCCTGCTCTCCCTCCAGGCTCCGCGCCTGGGGGAGAGCCAGGAGGCGCTCGGAGGCGGCGGGCACGTCGTGCACCGCCCGGCACTTTCCGCGACGGGAGGCTCGGACAGATCCACCGCCAGGAGCCCACCAGCCGAGCGGAGGTGGTCGTCGCCAAACTCCGCCGCCGGCATGTGCAGGGGGGGCACCCGCGGGGCCTCCGCGCGGGCGAGGCCGGGCGCCTGCGGGTCGGCGGCCGCCAGGGCCCTCCGGAGCTCCCTGCGGTACTCGGCCTTGAGCTGGCCGACCATGCCGCGCAGCGTCGCCTCCACGACCCCGTCGAGGAAGTCGCCCTGCATCAGGCTCGCGCTCCCCTGGAGGGCCGCCATGGCCCGCCGAATCTGCACGCGCGCGCGCGTTTGGGGGGGCAGCGGTAGGGTGAAGTCGGGCCTGTCCCCCTTCAGGGGGATTTTCGACGAAAAATGAAAAGTACCCCAAACATGCCCCAAAAAGGTCAAACACTACCTCCAGAATAGTCCCCAGACCATTTTTGGATTATTTTTTTACTATTTTTTGGAGTATCTTTTATCTTCCGTCGAAAATCCCCCTGTAGGGGGACAGGCCCGACTTCACGGCAGGGGGGCACGGGCTCGCAGGGGGCAGCTTCGACCTGGAGGCGGCGACCCGTCGCCGACAGATCGGCGAGAGGCCCCCGGCAGGGCAGCCCTGCACGCGCTCCTGGGCGGGGTGGGCCGTCGGGCCCGCGCCGGCGAGCGGCGCCTCTCCCCCCTGAGCCTACAGTCAAGACGTGCATTAAGGACGGGTGGCAAGGACGCAAGACCCCTGGAGGCCGAAGTTGGATTTTTCGGGCGGGGGGCAGAGGCAAGGACTCAAGGGTACCCTAGATGAAGGCACGCGTCCTTACTAGGCGCGTTGACTGTATTCGCCCCGGCGTTGCCCCCCGAACGTTGGTGGCGGTGCGCAGCGCCGCCGTCGCCTTTGGCGCGGCACAGCGGCGCGGCGCAAATTGTGAGGTTGGTGATGAGACGCCAGGGCCAAAATGGCCTCGGATCCACCCGAGGCCCTGAGATGGCGCAGCGTCGAAGGTGGGCGCTGCTCTGGACGGGGGCCTCTCGTGTCAGCAGGAGCGCCCACGGCGCCCTCTTCCAAGGGCAGCGCTTCCGAGCTCATGCCCCTGCGGGATTGAGCGTGCCCCATCCCACATGGAATCATCTCGAGAGGATGCCCTGTCGCAAAGGGACTCTGCAGCCAGACACTCACGCAGCGTAACCGCCGCTGAGGACAAAGTGCACTGCTTCCGCAGGGGGCCGGGGGGGGGAGAGAAACGCGCCTCCAATCCATGGGATATGGGGACGCCAATCTGCGCGCGCCCGTCGGGAAGCCCTGGCCAGAGACAGCGAAAACTGCTCCGACGGCAAGACCCCGCACAAGCACCCTCCGGGCCAGTCTGGAGGCCGCGAGGCGCAGCAACAACTCTTCGCTGGCTTCGGCCGCCGCAGCGCCGAGGGCGGGCCCTCCATGTGCCGTTTCGGCCATATTTTTGAGGATGCCGACCGCGGCTTTGAGCTCTGCCACTCGTGCGGATGCCCCGGCTTTGGAGGCGCCCTGACACTTCTGGGGTCCTGTTGCCTGCGCCGAACGCGTCCCGTGCCACTGTCGCCCACGACACCAAAAAACTCGCCCAGGAACCGTCTCCGAGTGGGCTGCAAGGGATACTGCAAGCGTCAAGATTTCCAGAACATCGACATGGCCTGCGCCAGCAAGCTCGCCAGTGGCTGGAGCGAAACCCAAAACAGATGGGGATCGTTGATTCCAGCTTCCCTGAAATGTAAGTCCGATGCAGACTAACAGCGGCATCACCAAAGACATCGAACGAAGCGCGAGGTCGCCGGCTGCAGCAGTGCGCCACCGCTGTTTTGCGTCTCTGCTCCACGGTTTCTCCAGATGCCGCGGGGAGAGGGAGGGGGACAAGAAGAGGGAGCAGGAGCAGGGAAAGGGGGGAGAGAGAAGAGGGACGACGGGGCGGAGGGATGGGGGAAGGATGAAGGTAGGTAGCAACGACCCGAAGTGGAGAAAAAGAGCAGAGGGAGGAAGCAACACGAGAAATGAGGAGGGGAGAAGAGTGGAGAATGGAGGGCAGACGCAGCCACGCGACGTCGCCAGAAGGGACTGGAAGGTCTGTGCAGGGCGGCGGGAACCGCCCATAGATGGTATTCACAACTGGAGCTGCACTGCTGCACCCTGGGAGGAGGAGAAGTAGGAGCAGGAGTAGGAGTAGGAGTCAAGCTAGCCAGCTCGAGCGAGTCAAGCATGGCATGCCCAGTCCCACCCGCCCTCCCACAACATAAGAAGCAAAGCTGGCACAACTGGGGACCGAAGTCACACCGGCCAGCCGGTTTGGTACAGCTGATGCGGCCGCGATGGCGGTTGCCGACGGGAACTGGCGAGCGCATGTTGAATGCCGCGCACGCATTGCCAGACGAGTCGAGAATGGCCCGGTACACCGCAGGAAGCCAGAGGTGGCCGGAGGAAGCCCGACGGTCTGACAGGACACCCCAAAGCATTTTTGTGAAAAAGCATTGGGTTTTTGATGTTTTTATGTTGAAATGCTTGCAAACACACGGTGTTCGGTAGGATTCTGACATGAACGCGCGAGTGTGCTCTTTGTGGTATTTTTTGCACAGGATTCGCGGCCTGGGTGCATGACAGAGCATCGCGAGTGCACCGCGCGATGACGTGAAATCGCTGGATTTGACCGAATTCTTAAGATTCCTATGGTTTTCCTATGATTTCAGCAAGAGAGCCCGGGCGGGAAATTTGTACAATTTTTGTGAAAAAGCATTGGGTTTTTGATGTTTTTATGTTGAAATGCTTGCAAACACACGGTGTTCGGTAGGATTCTGACATGAACGCGCGCGTGTGCTCTTTGTGGTTTTTTTTGCAATGGATTATCGCCGTGGACGACAGGACGTCCATGTCGAGAGGAAAAAATAAGAAAAATGTTGATTTTGTATTGTTTTTTACAGGTTAGGATGGGACCACCCGGATGCGGCCCCTAATGGCCGGCCTGAGGGGGGAGTAGGAGTAGATTCGAATAAGGAATAAGGATAGGAGGAGGAGGAGGGGGACGAGGAGGAAGAGAACGCAGGGAAAATTACATGCAGCATAATGCCACCCAACAGCGAGGCCACAGCGGGACAGTTACACCTCTCCTCGTGGGGTGGCTCTCGATAGCGCACTATCCGAGAGGCTTACGCTTGAAATGAGACTTGATTATGCTCGAGCCCGCCTCCTCTTGGAGGCGCCTCACTTGAGCAGGGACCGACCGTCCCGGCATTCCTGTAGGCCTACCACGACATGTTCTTTGAACCCCAAAATGTTCTAATAACAAGAATACTGTTCTTATGACATAAGCCTGATGTGTAAACACAAAACAGTCCCAGCCAAACATGTTGTAAGAACATTTCGTGGAAGCCACAAAAGGTTCTTAGAACATTGTTTGGTAGGCCTATAGGCACGCCAGGACGCTTCGCCACTGCTAGACACACCTCACTCCCTCGCCGTCGACTACCAATGTCTTGAAAAGTCCGAAGATCGAGATGCAACAAAATATGATGACAGAGCACAAGCACTCCGAAGATCGATGCCCCGCCTCTTTGGCATCTCCGTGTAGCAGCCATACTGCATGCCATCCGTCGGCCCGGTCGAGCATCTGCCAGACAGGAAAATGACGAAAAAAGAGAATGACGCCATCAACTTCCTGATCGGGAGCCGTGCCCAGCTTGACCGATGGCGTTGGCTGCGATGCGTGAGGAGCCCATGCTCGGCACTCTCGACACGCGTCGATGGCACATGCAATTACTTGCATCACTGAATGCGGGCATCGGCTGCAATCAATATTTCCATCTGTGTCCGAGTAGCTTGCCACCAGCGTATATGCGATGTATGCACGTACTTCTTAACGTAGCTGTGGTGCGCCACCTCTCCACTACATCCGCGAACTCTCTGCGACATCAGAGCTGGCCCAAGACTTCCGGCGCATGCCCAGCAGCCACATCCACGACTCGAGGTTGGGTTCGATGAGCTCCCGCCGGTCTGGGCGATGCTGGGTCGGGCGGCGGCGACGGTTCGTCGCCGTCGAACTGGTCGTCAAGGACCGGCGAAGGCGGCGCCAGGTCTTCGAGGGGTCCGCGATCGGACCCTCGGAGGAGGAGGAGGAGGAGGAGGAGGGAGGAGGGAGGGGGAGGAGGAGGAGGGAGGAGGAGGAGGAGGAGGAGGAGGAGGAGGAGGAGGAGGAGGAGCAGGAGGAGGAGGAGGAGGAGGAGGAGGAGGAGGAGCAGGAGGAGCAGGAGGAGGAGGAGAAGGAGGAGAAGGAGGAGGAGGAGGAGGCCCCTCGGTGCCAGGACTCACCTGGGAGCCGAGGGCATCTGCCGCGGGATGTCGTGAGCTTCTCGCAGGCAGGCCTCGCGGAGCCAGGCCCCTCGCTGGCCAGTGGGCGCTCGTGAGAGGGGCACGGGCGGGCCCCTCGGACCGTCGGCACTCGCCCGGACGCTCGGTGGCGATCTGGGCGTGCTCGCTCTCCCGAGGGGGTCACGCCTGCAGCCCTGGCGCGCGAAAGGCGACTCCGCGCCCCGTGGTGCTGCATTCTTCCCTGGTGTATCGATGCGTCGTGGGTCCAAACTGCTACGATCGGGAGGAGGAGGAGGAGGAGGAGGAGGAGGAGGAGGAGGAGGAGGAGGAGGAGGGGAAAGGAGGAGGGGAAGGAGGAGGAGGAGGAGGAGGAGGAGGAGGAGGAGGAGGAGGAGGAGGAGGGGGAGGGAGGAGGAGGAGGGAGGAGGAGGAGGAGAGGAGGAGGAGGAGGAGGAGGAGGAGAAGAGGAGGAGGAGGAGGAGGAGGAGGAGGGAGGAGGAGGGGAGGAGGAGAGGGGGAAGGAGAAGAAGGGGAAGGAGGAGGTTCGTCGGCTGGCCCAGGACGCTCTGGGGCGTCTCTTGGAATCTGGCGCGGTTGGCTGCCTGCCTGTCCGGCAGCAGGGGCATCGGCAGGTGTCTGAGTGCCAGAAACTCGGGCCGATGCTCCCGAAAGGTTCGGCCGGGCTGGAGACTGGCCTGCCGCTGCAGGGATTGCCGTTGGTGCTGGCTGTGGCGGCGGTGCCTCGGCAGCTTCTGAGCGCTGCAGCTACTGGAGCGCATCGGGGCTGACTCGGGAGCCCTCGGCTGGGTGGAGTTCAGCCGTGGGGGCGGTCGAGCTGCCCACCGTAGCATTGAAGGCAGCAATGCTTTACACCACGCGCTCGGCCAGGCGCCAGGGGCAGACCTGCAGTGTCTCGGCGTGCTTACTGTGGCCCCAGTCCCTGCACCACCACTGTTACTGTGACACCCGCTGCGCCACTGCACCCCAAAGCCCCTGAAAGGTGCTAGCAAATGAGGCGAGCCGGCAATGCCCAAGACAAGCTTCTTCGCCGGGAGGCCTCGGGGGGCGCTGGTCGAACGCGACCGAGTCTACCTGGGGGCTTTGTGAGATCTGCTCCCGCGGTGGCACACTGCTGAGCCACGTGGGCCCAGGTCGTTCGACAAACAACTGCCTACCTTCCTGGATGCGGGTGATCGCCACCTGGCCGCAGAAGACGACGCGCGGGGAATCATCCCGGCAGCGGGCCCTCCAAGTCTCGTGGTTGACGCCGTAACTGAGGCCGCTGGGGGGCCCCGTGGCGCGGCAGGAGGGCGCCGTAACCGCGACCAATACACAGTTGGGCCTGAGGCGCCTGTGGAAACGGTGCTGTTCCGCAGGGTCGCCCAAGTTGCATCCGGTCACCAAGTCGAAGTTCTCGCCAATTGTGAGCCGTGGGCGAATCCCGACCTGCGAGGCGCGGGCATCTCCCCCATGCAGCTCGCAGAGGCCCACGCCAGGGCCCCAGGTGGAGGCCGTAGTTGCGGCATGCTCTAGGTTGGTGGCCTGGTAGACCGACGAAGACAACGCAGCTCGGAGCCAAACAATGGTTCCCACTGCAAATGCTCAGGTCTGGTGCTCTCCAGCCAATTGCTCACGAGCGTGGTCGATGGCAGCCTCTTCGAGCGCCCGCGCAAGCTGCTCCTCCGTGCCAGAAAAATGAAAGGTCGTCGCTTCTACCTCCCCTCGGCGCTTGACGGGCACATGGCCTTGATTCTCGCGAGAGAGCGCGCACGCGGTGCGCTTCCTAAGGGGGGAGACCTTCGCTCCCCCCCCCCTGGGACCCCCCCTGCTGAAGCCCCCCCCCACTCCTGTGTCCCCGCCCCTCGAAAGGTATTCCCCCCTTTGGCGCTCCCGAGCCCGCCCCCGCCCCCTCCTTTCCAAACGAACGGGGGGGGGGCCCTGGCTGCCCCCCCTTTTGAACCTCTCCGGCCGAAAGCGCCCCCCCCCGTCCCTTCTTCTGCTGAAGGGAAGGGTGGGGGGGCTTGGAACCCCCTCCCCTTTGGCTACAGGAAGGAGCGCCGCAGACGACATCGACGCCGAAAACCAACGGAGCGCCGAAAAACCAAAGGGCCACCGAGAACTCCAAGGGCGCGAAAAAGAAGAAAGTCGCCGAAAACCAGAAGGAACGCGGAAAACCAAAAGAAGCGCAGAAAGCCAAAAATGCGTAGAAAACCAAAATGGCGCCGAAAACCAACGGGGCGCCGAAAATCAAAGGAGCGCCGAAAACCAGAAAATCGTCGGAAAAAGTTGAAAGCCGCCAGAGAGGAGCCGAAAACCAAAGAAGCGCCGCGCCGAAAACCCAAAGAGCGCTGGAAAGCAAAGGGGCGCCGAACACCAAAAAGCGCCGAGAATCAAAAGAATACCCACAACCGGTTATTAAACGCTGGCCCTTGATTTCTATTCGAATCGGGAATTTGCTGGGGCTGGCGAACAGCCTGGGGTTGAACGTGCCGGGCACCGGCACCCTGAGACTCGGGCTAAGCAACGAAATCTGCTCTGGCCAATCCGAAGTGACTCACCAATTGCAAGTAAAACTCCACCATGACTTTGGCCTTGAACTATCTTGTCTTGCGCGCGTGCTGTCCGTCCGAAGCGCGCGTATCGTGCGGCCTCGCGCTGGGGACTTGGTCGGACAATGTGATCCAACTAGCTTGGTGCACCAAGCATTGTGGGCGCGTGCGCTCAAGGCTGTCTCCGAGCGCTGTTGACGCGAGAACGTGCGACGCCGC